TAAAGGCTAATATAATATAACTAAGAAATACGGAATTATAAATGAAAAATATTAATAGATTGTAGTTGTGAGAGTAAGGCAAGTAAAGAAAATTATCGGAGATTAGCATATCCACATACAATCGGCCTGATCAGCTGAGAGTTTGGTAAACCTAATAACCGAGTAATTTTTTTTAAGGTTGTTCGTATACGATTAACGACGTAATGATTTTAATGACGCAATGAAAATATATTATGTATTGTATAGGAATAGTGTCCATATTCCTTATCATGTATGTATGTACGCGAGCCATGTATCTGAAAGTATATTATGGTACAATTAAATAATGATTAATAAAATACTATAAATGTAAAGAAAAAAAAAACACGTTAACCTTGACGAACAAATAATGGAGAGATACGGGAACGTCCATCACTGGTATAGCATATATTCCTCGAGCAGGGTATGTTTCCATGATTAGATGATAAAATCGGAAGTAACGGGTACTAGGGAACAATACCTTCAGTACAAATGAGATGTGAACGAGTTTACTCATATTAGTACTGTTGGGGACCAGAGAAGTCTTAAATTTGTTACCCTTAATAATGGTACATAGAGGTCACATCCTTCATTGGATCATAGTGTGAACTTAGTTTTCCTCCGTGACAATTGTTGGAGTCCTTTTAAAATGACTTAAACGTAGACCTCAAGGTTGTGCGCACAACCCAAGGTACAGTATTACCTTGATATACTTAGTATGATGAAACAAAAGTTTATGTACCAGTAAAATAAAATGAATGTAATGAAAATATAATACCCAAGTAAATGGGGGGCCCATATTTATAAAGTACCCGCGTGATAAATATCACGAAATAAATGAAGTGAATTAATACTCCGATTCCCGGTATCTAATTAATAAATAAATATATAAGGGAAGAGAATACTCAAAGAAATAAAGCTAGCTAAACGTCAAAAATATTAAGAAAGAAAAGAAAGTACGTACAAGAATTATGAAATAAATAAATAAGGCCTGACAACCGAAAACAAAGGAATTGAGATTAGTGTTAACATGAAAAGAAGTAACATGCAAGGACATGAGAATAATTAAAATGTGGTAATAAGGGGATCCCCGACCAAACCTAAAAGTGAGATATGTAGTTATTTTGCATTTCTGTATTAGAGCTATTAATGCTATCTACCCAAAATCCTACTCACAAGTTACACATGTAGGTACCTAGTAACTATATTATCGATCCACATAACAACACGTAAACAAAAAATATTAATCAAAAAATAATAAATACATTTTCACGTACATACTTAATTATTTTACCATATTTTATATGAATTTACAAGATTCTTTCATATTTAAATTGATTTATATTTATGATAACCCTACCTAAAATTTCTCTTTATGTTGTGTTGTTTTTTATGTAAAATTTGTACAATTTAAAACTCAATTGGGTAGTCCAAAGTGTATCAATTCGCTATTATTATAAGTTTTTTTTTCATTATCTACAATTAAATCAAAAATTATATCATTATATACTTAAAAGACTTTTCTTTTCTAATGTTAATAACATTTTATTAACATACAACATATATTTTCTAATACAGACCTTACATATATGTGTAATAGCCTATGTTTATTTCTTTTACAAATTTGTGTTTCAAATAAGATGAACATGTTCCTTAGAAGTCATGAAATTTAATAAAAAAGTAATATGTATTACGTTTCCGACATTTAATGAAAAAAAATAACACATATTACTTGATAATGTAAAAGTATTATAACAATACAATGTCATACTACGTAAATGAAAAAGTGTTTAACACTATTATAAATTTTAGATATTTTAAGTGTATTTATAATAAAACATTTTGTAAGTTATGTTGAAATTAGGTATCATCGTACGATGTAATCGCAAACTTTCTCATAAACATACTTTGGAATCGAAAACAAAAGTGTCACAAATCGCTGACGTGGCTGGGATTGCAATTTGTATTTTGATCTGGTAGTTTGTTATGATAATGAAAATGATGACATTGCCTAACATAGACTTCTTTGTTATGTGTATCTTAAAATGAAATGTAATATTGTCGGTTTTATATTTATTGTACATTCAAATCATATGTTTTATCCTTATAAGGCATTATTTTTTTTTGGAAAAAAAAGTAAAGTATTAATATCTAAATAATTTGTGTGGATCATGAAAGAAATGTTTCATTAAATATAAAGGTATAAAATAAATAAATGAAATATATAACTATAAAATTTTAAGTGAATAAATATATTAAGGAAGGGTACTATTTAATGTGAATGTCTACATAAATGACTTAATAAGTAACTGAATAACGCAGTATCAAAGTGTGTTACAGTGAAGTGTCGATCAAAATAATATACGTTCGCGGATGTACACCTGATTTTGTCTAACATAATGCATCAACAATGCAACAATGCATTAAGGCTTAAACATACATAATGTGACTACGGAATTATTATGTACATAGGGGGTTTGGCCAGCCACCCTACCCAAGCCAAGACAAATATTATATATACATAATTATAAGATAAAACTTTATTTAACATTATCTTTTTACTATATAAAAAAAAAATGTTATTTTTTATATATATTTTTTTTTTATCGGTATTTTTCATATAAAACTTCCGTTCACCGCGAAACTAAGTATACTTCATTTGAGTTAGTTTATGGCAAAAAATGTAATTTACCCAGTAATTTAACTTAAACCGTAGAACCCCTATATAATTACGAAGATTATCCGTTAGAGTTAAAATATTGCCTACAAACCTCCCAAAAGTAAGCAAGAGAAATTTTAATCAATAGTAAATTTGTTAGGAAATCCAAGTATGATTGTAAAATGAACGTTAAACTTATAAAATTAATGATTTGATATTAGTTAAAGAAGAAACTGGTAACAAACTCAGCGCCATTTATGCAGGTCCATATTTAGTAATTAGAGATTGTTCACCGAATGTTAAAATACTAAGAGATGGCAAAAATTACATTATTATTTTTCTCATTTATTGTGAACACATTAAGTCACTTATAAAAATTGTATGTTACTACCGTTAACAGTTTGTGCATGTGGTGTTTACCTAAATTAATTATGCATTTGGCTGTAAAACACTTATTATTGTTAAATACTCATTGATGTATTATTATTACAATTACTGGTAAACCTAATAAATAAATAAATAAATAAAAACCAAACTAAATTATATTATCCTTCAAATAAATGTAATAAATAAACATATATAATATTGTAATAATATTAAAGTTTTAAGTTTATTAATCTAAAGTCATCGATTTTAATTGTAATAAATTAGTATATTAAGCTTTATTAATTAATATTACCTTACCTTAACATTAATACCAATTGTAATCATATTAACCTAAATATTATTTTAACTATTTCTTTATACCCATGTTTACATTTTATAAATTAGAATACTTAGGGATATAATTATTGTGTAATTTTAGATGTTAGTATATATAAAAAAGAAAAAAAAAAGAAATGCACGTATTCATTTCTTTTTTTCTTTGGGAAGGAAGGTGTAGTACCTACCTAGTATCTATACGTATGTCTGGGTATAATCTAATATATAAAGTTAACAATACGTAATTACAGACAGTCTTACGTCAACACTCAAGTGTTTCATTTTCCCTCGTCCTTACATATAAATGTATATGAATATATTGCTATATATAAACAATAAATGCTGAATGTACCTAAAACTTTGTTTTATTCTATTATTGAATTAAATAAAACTACTTTACAGCACCCATGGTCATGGGGGACCATGTGTGTTGTAAAGCACCCGAAACATCTGGAATATAACTTAATATACGCGATAAAATCCGTAAAACTGATTTTATGTAAACATATTTTAATTGTTAATTTCTCAGTATTACCGATAGATGCTGTAAAACTAGTATTGTAATCTGTAGATGATGAGGAATAAATCGACTTGTATTTCAAGTTACGCTACAATTTGTGGTGGGCCCATTCTCCATACAAAAATAAATTTTCTCCTTTTTTGACTTATCAATATTTATAAATAATTATTGCGTAAACTGTAGATTATATTATAAAGTTAAAATCATGCCTAGTTTTTTGTAATTTTTAATTGTAATGCAACTAAGTAATTTGTATTTTTTTCAGCAAGGGATGGTGTTCAACTATACCTAAGGATATATACAATTTCTGCTGTTAGACAGCAGTCACATTCTAATTGTCTGCTTTTGAATAGCAGTCGTCTTATAATTTCTGCTATTATTCAGCAGTTGAGCTTTGATTTTTTAATATTAAAGAGTAGTTTGCTCTAACAATTAGGCTACAGGTTACATATTTTAAGTATTCAGTTTCTGCATACAGGAGCAGTTGTTAATTTGCACAGAAAATCATTTCACACTTATTGTTTGTACACTGATACTATTAATATTACTCCGATCTTATATAAACTTGATTATTTGCATTGGTTTAGATAAAGTAATTGCTATTTAATAATGTCATCTGTTGACATACTAGGTTACCGAAATATAATTCAACATTTAATGTTAGACGATAACGATATCGACCATTTTGCGTTTTTATTGCATTCAAATTTCGGTTACGCGGTTCGTGAATCATGGCATGTTCAGTGCCCTGAATTGATTGAGCCTTTAAATCTAAATAAAAAACACATTCAAATTTTACATAGTTGTGAAGGGGAGTACAAATATGGCAATTTTTCAAACGGTCACTGGGTCTGTTGCTATTATGATACCAAAAACATATATATTTTTGATTCTATTGGAAGTAATAAGTTGCATGAAAAACATCAATTATTTCTTTCACGGTGTTATCCTAATTTTCCATTTCAGTCAAAAACTATATTTCCTAAAGTCCAACATCAACCGAATGGTATTAATTGTGGGGTTTATGCTATTGCATTTGCTTCTTCTCTTGCTCTTGGAGAGTGGCCAATAGTAGATTCATTTCGTTATGATCATGATCAGATGCGACCACATCTTCTGCAAATTTTTCAAGATGGTATTATTTCTAATTTTCCTAAAGATATCTCAGTTGTCAATGATATTCCCGGAAAAAACTCTACGAAGAGGAATAACAACAATCATGAGAACTTCAAAGCCACATCTGCTCAAAAACGGTCTAAATGTAAAAACACTACTTACTATAATCAAAGTAATAATAATAATCTAGGAAAAATGTCTAATTTAAATGTACTTCAATCAACTAAGGAATCGTCGAGTCATTTAGATTCTCCACATAATCAAGTAATTCGTGAAAATTATAACGTTGATCAGTCCAAAAGCAAAACTGGTAAAATAAGCCAATGCATCAAACAAAACATGGATCCATCAAACTCGATAGAAACTCCCATAGTAAAAAAGGGTCACATTATGGAATTGCCGATGCTTAATGAAGAATATCTAAATATTATTACACGAGGCAATCAATTGATACATGAACACTTTTATCAGTTCAAACTTATTTTAGCTAATTATTCTGATTACAACCACCGTGATACTTTGCATCTTAAAATACCTAAAAAAATTGAAGCTGTGCCTCAATTAGAAAAACATATTCAAATATTGTACAGTCGAAATAAACATTGGGTATGTTCTTTTTATGATACAAAGAAGCTTTATATATATGACTCTTTGAATATAGGTTCATTGAATGATGACCAAAGAACTTTTCTACAACACTTACACCCGTATTTTAAATTTGACCCAAATTCTACTATCTTTCCTCAAGTTCAACATCAGCAAAATGGTAATGATTGTGGAATTTTTGCAATATCCTTATTATCATCAAAAATTTATCAGCAAAATCCTGTAAACATTATTTATAACACCAGGTCAATGCGATCACATTTATTGTCAATCTTTAGGACAAATAAACTTACTCATTTTCCTGTGATTTCAAATGAAAATAAAGGCACTTTACTAGATTTATCGACTATTAGAAAGAAAGAAAGATATGCTTTGAATTATCGCTGTAAACGATGTGGGCCTTCATCATCAACTGTAAAAAAAGAAAATTCACCAAGTGTTTGCATTTTAAAAGTTCCACAACATTTGGTCAACGACCAGATTACTAAATTTCAAATGAAAGATCATAGTTATGTTCTTGATTCAACTTTGAATATAAATTTATTGATAAATTTAATAAATCAGGGAGATAAACTGATAGACGAACATATTTATCATTTTAAATTAATGTTAGAAAGCTGTTCTGATTATGTTCCTCGCGATACGCTAAATTTGGTAAGACCTGAAAGAATAGAACCAGTACCGAAATTAAAGAAGCACATTCAAATATTATTTAGTCAAAATGGGCATTGGGTTTGTTCTTTTTATGATACCAAAAAAGTTTATGTTTATGACTCTTTAAATAGTGGGTCATTGCATAACGATCAAAAAAATTTTTTGCAGCATTTATTTCCTTATTTAGAGATAAGTTCAGAATCGATCATTTTTCCTAAAGTGCAATTTCAAGTAAATGGAGATGACTGTGGGATTTTCGCTATTGCTGTTGCAGTATCTCTTTTATTTAGACGGAATCCTGATGATATTATTTATGATCTTAGTTCCATGCGATCTCATTTATCAAACATGTTTCAAACTCGAGTAATTAGTCATTTTCCAGAAATCAATAGCGACACCTTATATTTGTCTGATTTGGAAGAAATTAGGAAAAAAGAAAAAATTGCTTTTTACTACCGAACATTAAGAGAAAAAAAATCAATAAAATTGGAGTACAATCTAAAGTTACTTAAAACCGAATGTAACCCAAATTCTGATAATAATAGCTTGACTCCAGAATGTGCAATCAAACCTGTTGATGCATCATTTGAAAATAAATCGAGTAATCCAAATAATGATGAGTATAAATTTACTGATGTACAAAAATCTGTAAGTTCACGAAAAAGTTTCGTTGAAACGAAAGTTAAATCTCGTAATCAAACAATACAAAACCAAAAAATAATGACCGCAAAAAAAATTGTATCAAAATATAAACTGAATGAGTGCAAACATGATAGTATTAAATTAAAATTATCGACAGAACATTGCATTAAAAAATTGACAGAAGCAATAGATACAAATAGTTTAGCTGAAAAAAGATTAGAAGCTGAAAGAATTGTCAAGTGGTGTTTATGTGAAAGAAAAAATTATTTGGTCATTTTATCCAGAACATTGATGACATTGAAAAATAAAGCTGAGTTTCACCTTTCTAAATTACCCGATAATTCTGTCAAAAATATTGAGTATTATAAGAATGTATGTGGTAGATCACTTCATAATTCATCTACCGAATCCTATTTTTATGAGGTATCATATTTATTCGAGCAAATTAGTGATCAAGTTATTACGATGAACTCAAAAGGACAATGTACCAATATCTTACCACTTCTAAAGAATAGTCAGGGAAAAAAACAGTGGTCATGTAACAACTACTGTCGTACTAACCATAATAAAGAAATATATGAGCAATATATAAATTTACTTCAGGACATTCAGGCACGGCAATTAAAGAGTTTTTTAATGTTATTAAAAAAATGTTTCTTACACGCCATTCTGTCGATAAACTTGGTCATTTTCAATATTGTTATAACTCGCTAATTTTCTGTGAATCGTCATTTATTGCAGTGGAAATACTGTCGTCACATTTTCCAGCTGTTAGATATATAAAAAGACTTATTTATCGAATGAAGGAAAATTTTGATAATCTAAAAGTATTAGATTGTGCTTTGGAGACTTCTGATTTGGAAACTTTAATCAAAATTACAAATGAAATGAAGATGAAAGGAAATATACTTGATAAGGAACAAAACGGACTCTGTTTAGATGAAGACTTATTACAAAAACAATATAAAACAGCATTTACAACGTTCACTAAGAGATCACTTGATTTTTAAGTGTATATCATGCCAAAAGTTAAATTTCAGAAAAGACGTCACCGATTTAAGTAAAATACACAATCCAATTTCAACCGAAGTTTGGCAAAATCTAAATAATTTTATCAAAGCACAAGATATTACACTAAGTAGTAATTATGTATGTACACATAGCTGCCTCAAGAAGCTTCGTTCTAACGAACTGCCTTCAACTTGCTTATTGAATAATATGTATGTAGGATCCATCCCTGATGAAATAAAGACTTTAAATAATTATGAAACGATTGTCATCCAAAGGGCTAAAGCGTTTCAAGTTGTTCAACGATTAGGAACAGTCGCAAAAAAAAAGTTGCCTCAGACTATGCGAATGCAAAAATTAAAAGGCCAAACATTTCATCTTCCTTTACCCATCGAAGAAACGTTGAAAAAAATATGCTCAACCACAGATCCTATTAACACCAATCATGAGTTATATATTTTAATTCGTAGTATACCGAACAAATCGAATGTTATATGGGAAAGTTTAGTTAATTTAGAGAAAATATTTAAAGTTTTAATTTGGTTAAACCAAAATAATCCGCTGTACGCAGAAATAATGATTCCTAAATGCCCTGAAAATTTAAAAAAATGGTTGATATCAAAAAATTTGGAGTTTAATATTGAATCAATTGAGATAATTGATGTCGAACAAAGTTACATCGAAGACAAAGATAATCCATCAAATGATATAAACAAATCTATGAACAACGACAACGAAAATGATGACGAAGAAATTAATCACAATGAAAAACAAGATCTTAATGCTTGTAATGGGCCCAAAATTATTTTAGAAGCTAGGAGTGAAAATATTATTTCAATAAATGAAAAGAGTCTTAAAGCCCAAATTGAGCATAATGTTTGTTATCCTAGAACTAAAATAACTCACGTAAATATGGATATACCTATTCATACAGATAGTGATATAATCACAACCCCAAATCATGAAACTATAATTAATGCACCTGGGAATAATTTTCATTACAATGATCATAACTACAGTATACCTGCTAGTACAGCTACTGATATTGTTGAAACGCACGAGAACCTCAATAATAACGATCATAACTGTAGTATGCACATGAATATGACTCTTAAAGATGAACAAATAAATACTGACAATGAAAAAATAGAAAATGATAATAATAAGCAAATCGATCCACGTGCAATGATAACTCAGATATTAAACCCCAATAGCTCTCAATACGAACATTGTACAATATATCCGCTACACGATAAAAGAATTAATGAAACTTCAACAAATATATATCAAATGTTGAAGATTAACGACAAACCGTTAGATAATAGAGTTACAACTTTAGATTTGCAATGTTTTCCAGATATTTACCCTTACGGTATAAATGGTCAACATGAAAAAAGAGATGTAAAACTTACGGATTATGAGTATATTAAAGCACGATTAAAATCAGCTGATCCTCGATTCCGCTTAAATCAACAATATATTTTCTTTTTATTACATAATTCGAACATTCGACAATTAGGTCAAGGGATTTATCATACATTAAATGTTATAAATCCTCGCGAACAGTACACAGCAGAAAGATACCTACAAAATTTAAAAAGCGGGCAGCTAGAAGCAAATTTGAGTACCATCTTTGCTCGACTTCGAAATTCTGCTCAATTTTGGAGTAAACCGAGAAATAACTTACATTGCATGACTCGTCATTATGGTCCCGCAACATGGTTCGTTACAGTAAGTCCCGCTGAATGGCTATGGCAAGATCTGATAGATTACGTACGAGAAATAAATTCTCCAAATTTTGATAACTTATCTCCTAATGAAGTGATCAATGCTGATCCAGTTTCTGTCTCTAGATTTATAAATAACAAATTTACTGCTATTCTTGATTTTATTTCGTCAAGTGGTCAACCTCTTGGTAAAGTTCTTCACTATTATTGGCGTCTTGAATATCAAGGGAGAGGTATTCAACATCTTCATATGCTGATTTGGATAGAAGGTGCCCCAATCATGGGTATTAATAATAATGATGAAGTAGCTGAATTCATTATGAAGTATGTAACCTGCAAATTACCAAACAAAAATATTTCACCTACACTCCATAGGCGTGTTACTTCACATCAACAGCATTATCATAATGTTTATTGTTTAAGAAAGAAAAAACTAAAATCGAACAAAGTTGTTAAAGCTTGTAAGTTTGGATTTCCAAGACCAATTACTGATAATTTTGTACTTCGAGATGCTGCAACATCAATAGCTGGACGTAGAAAGTTGAAGAGTAAGAGCCGACTTTATGATCTTCCTCGTACTGATAAAGAGGCTAATATAAATGATTATAATCCTGCTCTTTTAAGTGTATGGGAGGGGAATATGGACATACAATTTCTTGGCGAAAAATCAACATTATTAACACAGTATGTTACAAAATATGTTACGAAAGAGGAAGCTACTAAAGCATCTGAAACAATTAGTGAAATTAATTATACTAAACCTCTTGCTCAACTTTTATGGAAAATAGCTTTTCGTAGTTTGAATCATCGGGAAATCGGAGCTCACGAAGCAGCGGATACTCTATTAGGTCATTCTCTTTATGGAACAGATTCCGAGACGGTAATAAAATGGTTAGATGTTAAAATGATTAGAAATCGAAAATTAAAGACCAAAGACGAAATCGAAAAAATAAAAGAGTTAAATCCTGAATCAACTGATATATTTTGTCCTTCACTGATCGACGATTATTACCCAAATCGCCCTGAAGAGTTAGGACCTGTATGTTTATACGAGTTTGCTCGATGGTATGATGTGGTAAAATCTGAACCACAGAATAATATGAATGAATATTATAAAATTGGCCCATCACTATTTTTAAAAAGAAGGTCTCGCAGTTATTTATTAAATCATTACAGATATAATGTTGCTAATCAACCTGAAAATTATTTTTTCTCTCTTTTATTATTATTTCAACCATGGCGGGACACAGATGAGTTAAAAAATGGGTACCAATCATATACCGAATCATTTATGAATCAGCAAAGTATGCTTGAGCAAATTAAAGAATATCATGAATATAATGAAGATTTTCAAAAAGAATTAGATTATATTAAGAATCAGATAGAAATAAAACACAGTCAAAATGATCAAAGTCGGCGTCTAGTGGATGAATCACAAGAGTCTGATTCCGTTGAAATAAATATTTTAGCTAAAGAGTTGAAAGATGCTGCTGATAAAGTAAATAATAAACTTACTCTTGCAGAAGTGATCGAACAAATGAACTCGGATCAATTAAAAGTTTTCGAAAAAATAAAAGATATAGATTTTACAAATAAAAAAATTATGTTGTATGTAAGTGGAGAAGGTGGTACAGGTAAAAGTTTTCTTATTCACGTAATTAAACGCTGGGTGAAGGAAAAACTAAACCAGGAAACAATTGTAACAGCTCCCACAGGCATCGCCGCTTTTAACATTGATGATCTTACGGTACATAGAGTATTCCAGTTGCCTGTTGAACATGGCTCTACTCCGAAGTATACACAATTATCAGATATCGCTTTAAAAATGCTAAGAGATCAACTAAAAGATGTTTCTTTAATTATTATTGATGAAATATCGATGATTTCTAATGTAACATTACTTTACATACATCTAAGATTAGTTAGCATATTTAATGTTGATGAATGGTTTGGAGGACGACACATAATTGTTTTTGGTGACTTACTTCAACTTCCTCCAGTACATGAAGATCCTACGTACAAAATTTTAGCATTTTCAGACGTGGAAAAATTAGTTGGATCTCTAAGTTATAGTAATTTATGGACTGATTTATTTAATTACGAAGAATTAACTATAAACATGCGTCAGAAAGCTGATAAATCATATGCTGAGTTATTGTCTAGAATGCGTATAGGAGCAGTTACTGCCGATGATATAAAGTTATTAGAGAAAAGAAAAATTAATATCGATAGTTCATTATCATATCACGATAGACTGAATGAAATTTGTAATTACATCAACAAACTACCATCGGATACAGTTTGCTTAGTACCTACCTGTAATCAATGTGACTTAATTAATTCCGTAATGTTAGATAGGATTCAATCTGAAGAAATTGTACTTACTGCCAATGATCATATAGATTGTCCTAAATTTCTAAAAAAGAAAGCAGCTAATATTTTGAGTTCGATTGAAGAAGATGCAAGCCGAAGCGCTGGACTGCCAAAAATAATCAAAATAAAAGTGGGTGTAAAAGTAATGTTAAGACGTAATATTGACGTTACATTGGGTTTAGTCAATGGTGCTATTGGTACTGTGAAGTCAATTTCCAAATCTATTGAGAGTAATCAAATTCAGTTTATTAATATAGATTTTGCAACTGGTACAGAATATGCTATTGAAAGAATCAAAGTAAAATTTTTAATTTCAGATAAAGCTTTTGTCGTAAGAGAACAGTTCCCGTTATGTTTGAGCTATGCTGTTACGATCCATAAAAGTCAAGGTTTAAGTTTAAAAAATGCTGTGATTGAAGCTGGCAATACTATTTTTAATGCTGGTCAATCTTACGTAGCATTCTCCCGAGTAACAAAAATTGAAGGAATACATTTAATAAATTTCGATCCGTATTCAATTAAAGCAAATACAGAGGCAATTGTAGAGTATAATCGGTTAAGAAAAACTTATAGAGCTGATCTCCCAGTCCTTTTAATTACAAAAAGACGTTGGTCTAAAGTATGGGATTTAATTTGGGGAGTTGAAAAATATGTCGATCAAAGTAAACAACAAAATATAATTAAAAGAAAGTCATGTATTGATTTCTTCAAATTCCATGGTATAGAAAATAGCGATGGTAATTCTAGCTGTATCAATTCTATTTTCCAGTGCATTTTTCATAGTAGTATAATACAATTATTATTAGAAAGTGAACATCAAAATACTGCACTCAGCACAGAGTTGTGCAAATTATTCCACATGTATACGATTAATAAAACAATATTAAAGTCTACTTTGATAAAAGAGAAGATATATGACCATTTAAATATAGATGACGAAACTAATCCTTTCGCAATACTTTCTACTTTATTCAGTAAAAATTATGACATTAGTAAGTTAGTGCAATACGAACTATTAAACACTGATCGTTGTAAGTCCTGTAATTATACAATCATGTCTAAAGAAGTTAATAACATTTTACCTCTCAAAGTTGGGAATGCTACTAAATTTTTTTTTTTATTAATTTACAAGAATTAATCGATAAACAACATGGACATTGGTTTAATACTTTAAAATTTTATAACAAATGCCAGAAAGTACAAAATACTTATAGGAAAGTCACGTTTAATTCCTGTCAACAAATAATAGTAATCGCATTAAATATTTCTGTCGCTAAAATAAATAAAAATAAACAAACTGGCTTCATAAAATCTGTACCAACATCCAAAATAGTTCTTTGTGATAATTCATACAGCGTAATCAGTGCTATATTTTGTTATTATATAGACAATGAAATAAATCGCTATAGTGCAATAATAAAAAACAAATCAGCTTGGATAGAATTAGATGATTTAAATGTTAAATCAATACGATGGCCAACAAATTCAAAAAATGCCTGCATACTATTTCTTGAAAAGAAATGAATGGTATTTTACATCAAAGCTGGTATAAAATAACACAGCAGCCGATTAATAAGTCTTTAAAGTTATCGACACCCGCTAAGTATGTATACGTCTGTATCTGCCTGATGATGGTTTTTATTGCATTTATTACTCAATAATAATAAACGATTCTGAGAGCTCCCTTTCTCTTCTGCGGTAAATATAACAAGTCTTCCGATATTTTCGTATCTTTATAATATAAAGTTACAGGTAGTATTTTATAATATTTCGAAGCATTTCGAAGCATCCAACTTTGATATGGCATCTGACCGAATTTTAATGAGTGCCACTTACAATTTTTCTGGAGTATAATTGCTTTTTGTTCTATATTTTCTAACATTAGGCTTAACTTGAAAGGGTTTTCGCGGCATTGTACCTCAAAATAAAAAAAATATGAACATAAGCTTTTTAACTTTTGGTAGCAACATTGAAAGTTATCCCATCTTAAGAAAATACTATCATGGTAACATTAAGCGATTCAAAGTTACCCAAAAGTTTAAATTTTTTTCCGTGTATCAAACGATTATTAAATATATAGGTAAAAGGGTTAATACATTATATGTTAACAAATACATTTGTATATGCGTTTTTGTTATATTAGATAGTTATATTAGACGTTAATGGGCTAAAGCATCCACTAACACCGCCTTCAAAGAGTTTATTGATTCTCGTCCCCATGGTTTCTTTAGTATTAAATGTGCTAAAATGCAAACTAACATTGACAATTACAGTTTTTTTTTTGTTAAATATATGTAATCTATATATTCCACAGTTTTGCTTCACAGTTCACACCACAGACTAACTAATAGATTATACTTAGTCTAATTACGTTCCAGTTCCTCGACTCCACCGAGTCAGTAATTCATTCTTGGGGCGATGTATACGCTTTTACAACTACTGTAATTTTTAAAATATACTAAATTTGACCTGCACAAAGTTCAAAAATTTTATTAAACTAAGTTTGTATAAAAAGGGTTATTATAATATTAAGGAATTTATGGATGACAATAACCCCTGGGAATGATTTGATCACTACCAAGCTATTTCTAAATTGTTGTGTTGTTAATTGTGTAAATGATTGTAAGATGTTATTTAAAAAATAGTCCCGCTGGGTTTCTTGCTGGTTCTTCCCAGGACAGAGGTTTTTTTCCGAACCAGTGGAAATTAAACAAAAGAGTGACTTTCAATAAGTATAATTTATAATCTATATTGAATAAAAAAGTTTCTGTTTCTGTTTTTGTTTCTGTTTCTACCGAATGTCCACACGATACTTCTCTACTTGGATACTCTGGTACAGTTGTAAAAAAAAATATTTAATTGTTATTATAGAGTTTTATTCAAAGTTACATTGAAGGACATTACATTACATTGGAGACTTTTTTTATTAAAAAAAAACCACTATTGTTATGAAATAAAATTCTTAAAATAATAAACAAAACCCGGTCTTGATACCTCAAAGTTTTCGAGAGTTATCGTGACCACGTAAAAACAATACGGACGTCCACGGAATTATTTATTCCGTTTTCTTAAAGTAGCAAAATAAAATTGATTTATACAAAATATAAGATAGATTGATTAAATTTTCTTGAAATAAATCTAGTCATATTATCGTATGAGTGCAAATCAGTTGTAGATGTAGAGGTAGTTAAAGAGCAAAAAATTTCTGGACCTTGACGTGTTGAGAGTTAAAGCACAACCTAAACCGCTTCGCGGTATGAGGTGTGCGATACTTGCAAAAAAAAAAAGAAATTGTGTACTTTACAAAAAGATATGATATCCGAACAAAAACAGTTTCACTGTAAAGCATCGCGCCAAGTACACTTTCAACTATAGTTACAAAAATAATAATTACATTTTTACAAAAAATTATAAAATAAAAAGAAACCAAGTACATACCCGTTTTAGATTCGAAAAAAAATTTTGCTGAAAAAAGTAATAATAAAAAACCTCACCACACGACAACGGATGTTAGAGTAATCATTTATATGTTCAAAATTAATTATAGCCAGCCATAATGTCTAATCCTAAATATTAACAAATTAATGGGGAAGTGTATTTTTTGTTTGTTTGTCATTCTTTTATATAGATACACTCATATAAAGGTATATACTCTTAGAAAAATTTAGGGGGACGCCTAAAAAGTTTTAATTTCTCGTGTTATAATGCTCGTACATACTGGCAACAAACTTTTGTAAATGCTAATTAAGAAAAAACAAAGTTTAATTTTTTCGAATTTCATTTGTTTTTATGTAATTATTGTGTACGCCGTGTAGTGGCGGTTAAGAATATCCACTACCCCATATCTTCCCGTGGGTGTCGTAAAAGGCGACAAAGGGAAACAGGCAGGAGATGGGCAGCAGCATCTTCCTGATAGTAGCCAAAATAACAATAAAAAAACTGCGGTTGCCAACCCGCTCGCCAAGCGTGGCAACTATGGCAATATACCCCCCATGAGCAATGACAATAATAAACGGCCCCCAGTCCCCGGCGGCCCCGCTATTCCTGGCTACGGTGGCGACCATGGTAACGGCGGGGCAGGGGGTGCTAAGAATCTCCGGTGGAGGTTCGGTTGCCACCTACGACGACTCGACCTGGCAACATACAACGCACGCACCCTGAGGACTGACGAGAAGATTGTGGAGCTGGAAGAAGAGATAGACAAGTTACGCTGGCATATTATAGGATTATCCGAAGTCCGAAGAGAGGGGGAGGACACGGTAATCCTCGAATCCGGCAACTTGCTCTATTACCGGGAGGGCGACCATCTGTCCCAAGGAGGTGTCGGATTTATCGTCCACAAGTCTCTCGTTAACAACGTTGTAAAGATTGAGAGTGTGTCGACGAGGGTTGCGTACCTTATACTCAGAATCACCAAACGGTATTCGCTGAAGGTCATACAGGTTTACGCACCAACCTCGGCACACCCCGATCAGGAGGTGGAGGAAATGTATGAGGATATCTCTAGAGCCATGCATTCCTCCAAAACCCAATATACGGTGTTAATGGGAGACTTCAATGCAAAACTAGGCACAAGAGAGAACGGTGAGCTGAAAGTAGGGAAATTTGGAATAGGGCAACGGAACCCAAGGGGCCAGCAGCTGGCCGACTTCATGGAGAAAGAGGGACTCTTTATGATGAACTCTTTCTTCCAGAAGCGGCCCCACAGGAAATGGACCTGGTCGAGCCCCGACGGTTCGACAAAAAATGAGATTGACTTCATTATGACGACCAGACGACAACTGTTCAGTGATGTCTCAGTGATCACGAGGGTGAAAACCGGCAGCGATCACCGAATGGTTAGAGGCACACTGAACCTAAACGTTAAGTTGGAGAGGTCTCGTCTAATGAAGTCAACGCTCCGTCCCCCTCGTGCTCTAATCCAAAGTCCCGAAACCTTTCAGCTCGAGTTACAAAACCGTTTTCAGTGCCTAGAAGACTGCAATGAAGTGGACGATTTGAATGACAAGCTCGTGGAAACTGTCCATGCGGTCGGAGCTAAGTTCTGCAAGACCCGCCGCAGAAGAACACAAAAACTCTCCGATCACACTCTTAATCTCATGGCTGTTAGACGGGAGATGAAGCTACATTCTTCAACAGATTTGACAGCATACAGGCAACTGAACAGACAGATCTCCAAATGCATGCGGCGGGACTTACGCAAATTCAATACAGCTCGTATTGAAGAAGCGATCGAGCGGAACCGAGGCTCCAAAGTCTTTGCCAGAGATCTGTCTGCCAGAAAGCGCCAACTGTCAAAGCTGAAGACAGAATGTGGCAGCATCGTTTCCGGGGCACCTGAGATTTTGAGTGAGATTGAGAGGTTCTATGGGCAGCTGTACACGTCATCGTTGGAGCCGCACGCAAGTGTGAGTAACGATCCAAGAGCGAGTCTTATCCGACATTATTCCGATGATATCCCGGACGTCAGTCTGAGCGAGATTAGAATGGCTCTCCGGCACCTTAAAAACGGCAAGGCCCCAGGCGAGGATGGAATTACAGCGGAGCTTCTGAAAGCGGGTGGAAAACCGGTACTTGAAGTCCTTCAGAAGCTCTTTAATTCCGTCCTCCATGGTGGCATTACACCGGAGGCGTGGAGCAGAAGTGCGGTGGTCTTGTTCTTCAAGAAAGGCGACAACGCTCTCTTGAAGAACTACAGACCGATTTCCGTTCTGAGCCGCGTCTACGTGCTGTTTTCGAGAGTCATTACGAATCGTCTCGCGCGCAGACTTGACGACTTCCAGCCTCCCGAACAAGCCGGTTTCCGAAAAGGCTTTAGCACCATAGACCACATACATACCCTTCGGCAAATTGTACAGAAGTCCGAGGAGTACAATTTGCCACTATGTCTGGCGTATGTGGTCTATGAGAAAGGCTTTGATTTCGTCGAAATTTGGACGGTGCTGCAGTCCCTTCAGCGGTGCCAAGTTGACTGTCGGTATATCGAAGTGCTGAATTACTTGTACAGTAGGGCTACGATGGCTATCCGAGTTCAGAACCAGAGTACGAAACCTATCCAGTTGTAGAGAGGTGTAAGACAGGGTGACGTTCTATCCCCGAAACTCTTCACCGCTGCATTGGAAGACGTTTTCAAGCTTCTGGACTGGAACGGATACGGTATTAACATCAATGGCGAGTACATCACTCACCTTCGATTTGCCGACGATATAGTCCTTATGGCAGAATCGCTGGAGGAACTAAGCACCATGCTCAATGACCTCAATAGTGTCTCCCAACGGATAGTTCTTAAGATGAACATGGACAAAACAAAGATCATGTTTAATGTCCATGTCATACCTATGCCGGTATTTGTTGGGAACACTAAGCTCGAAGTTGTTGACGAGTATGTTTACCTGGGACAAATAGTCCGACTAGGTAAGTCCAACTTCGACCGAGAGGTCAATCGATGGATTCAACTCGGCTGGGCAGCGTTCGGGAAACTACGGCACATCTTCTCGTCAGACATACCTCAAATCCTTAAAACG